AACCTTATCGGGGGTGATAAGAGGCTAAATGTTTTTGACCGTTTTTGGTCATTCGTGTCGTGAAGCAAACGTACCACTAGAACTTTTAACTCGGAAAGTGCGCATAGATGCGCATCGCTGCAAGGTATGACGTCAGAAAAAAGTTGAGCCTTATCGGGGTGATAAGGGGCTAAACTTTTTCGACCATTTTTGGGTATTTTTGGGGTGAAGCCAATGTACCAGGAGAACTTTTAACTCGGGAAGTGCATAGATGGAGAATTGCTGCAACGTGTGACGTCAGACAAAAGTGTAGCCTTATCGGGTGCGATAAGGGCCACAACATTTTCGACTGTTTTTTGCCGTTCATGTGGTGAAGCTAACGTATCAGGGGAACCTCAACTCGGAAAGTGCGCATAGATGGCGCATCACTGTGACGTGTGACGTCAAACAAAAAATGAGCCTTATCGGTAGTGATAAGAGGCTAATATTTTTCGACTGCTTTTGGCCCTTCGTGCGGTGAAGGCGACGTACCAGGGGAACGTTTAACTCGAAAAGTACGCATAGATGGCGCATCGCTGCAACATGTGACGTCAGACAGAGGTTGAGCCTTTTCGAGGGTGATAAGGGCCGCTACTTTTTCGACCGTTTTTGACCATTCGTAAGGCGAAGCCAAGGTACCAAGGAAACATTTAACTCTGAAAGTGCACATAGATGGCGCATCACTGCAAGGTGTGACATCAGACAAAAGTGGAGCCTTATCGGGAATGATAAGGGGCTAAACTTTTTGCAGCTGTTTTGGGCATGTATTGCAGTGAAGCTAATGCCTCCGCGAAAGCCCTGCCTTGTTTTTTTATCATGTTTGTTATGCACCATCGGCCGAAAAAATCTAAGAAATGGAGTAGGGCGGGATGTTCTCTTAATTTAGCTTGCTAGACGGATTATCACATGCTTTTGCAGCGCTGCAAACATTGTGGTGTGGTCTTCATTTTGTTGCGTAGATATGCAGAGTGGCAAAATCTAGCGCACTGTGGAGGTAGTTTAGATGTGGATGTGCATGTACAAGCAAAATGGAGTAATATGATGTTATTATGGATTATAACCTTACTGTGGAACGTTACTGTGGGCCACAGGGATTGTGGTTCCAGGTTTTTGAAATTGTGACATTTTGCTCAGAAGCAGAGCATCCTGCCCACTGGACAACTACCGGTGCCTGCAGGGGGTGAGATTATCTGAAGCTTATGAAAGGGCTGTATTGGCGATGCAACGAATTATAACGAGATCACTTTCAAATGGTCAAGCCAAACCAACGCTGAATCTCTGCCGCATCAACGGAAAGCTGTGTTTTACCATACGCCCATATCTCTGTCCAACTAGACAGGTGATAGTAAAAAAAAAATAGTAGCCTGATGGTGCTGGGAGTCGAACCTATACCCTACACTTCGAAGGCGAGCGTCTTAAGCGTTACTCTTTACGCGAAAGCTTGCCGAGTGCGAATGCATCTAAGTGATAGAACCTTGCTGTACCGGCGAAACAAAATGAAAATAATAATATATTATATTATTACTATTGTTGAGACTTATTAATATTGCTAGTATTAGTAATAAATTATTAACACCTTTGTAACAAAAGCGCCCTCGTAACAAAACCCTCGTAGCAAAAAGAAAACTGAGTTCTCCCGACGTTGTGTCGCCTAACACGATCATAAAACTAAGGAAATTAGTGAACTTTATTGTATCAAACACGTGAGAGATCGTTTTGCAAAAATCCCGGTATCGGTGTCTTCGGTTGTGAGCGGAAGGGTGAGAAAGATGCTAATGAATGAATAAAAGCTTCGGTTAGAGTGAGGATCAAAACCAGGCTTCTGGGGGCGATGGCCTGACTGTGTCTTGTTGACAGCGATGCTCGACAGAGGCGTACAGGCGGGGTTTAATGCATACATGTATACCTTCAATAGTAGATCAGTGAAGGTCCAGAGACGTCACTTACGTACAAGTAAAGTGTTATTTGAAAAAAAAAAATGCTTTCTCATTTATGTGGAGCAACAATTATCGGTGATTAAAAACAGGGCTGGCGCGAAATATTTTTTTATGTGTCAGGCAGCACCCGCAACAACAGAGCTTCTTTCAGGGCAGGTAGGCTGGGAACTTATGTGATGTGTTGTGAATATGTGTGCTCTTAGGGGGGGGGGGGAGGGGCAAAAGGAGGGCAGGCAGGGCTACACCAGAGGAGGGGCAGCTGCCCTTCCTAGAGTGTAGCCCTTGATTGGTAACTTCCACCAACGATGCGAGGGAAAACTCACCTTTGTAAAAGCTCCTTCGCGATATTCCACGATGTATGCTGGTGATCCTGGCCCGTTTCGTCCCCCGAAACATTACTTCCAATACCTCAACTGTTTCTCATCTGCTGTCCACAGTATTAACTTATCTCAACAAACTTCGTAGATCTTTAAGAATACCTGAACCCTCTACACTTTACACTCGAACCCAAGCTGTCTGGTTCAGAGACGATTGCAGAAGGTATCAAAGAGCTGTACGACAAACGTGGTAATATTCAGGCACACCCAGTGCCACATGCAGTTGCATTTTCAATGGTTTACAAACGACCATTGTGGGATAGCAGGCCACACTATGCAATGCTTAATGTCACAGAGCAGAGATGTCCTGCAAGAGCGTACAAAACTGAGAGAGTTGGTTAAGCTTCATGTAAAAAAAAAAAACAGCGCGAAAGAAGACACGAAAAAGGAGGAGCACACAAGACAAGCGCTGAACAAGCAACAGAAGTTGAAGAAGTAGAAGTTACTAGTTTAACGCTTGTCCCTCGTCATCCTTTCGCGTGTCGTCTTTTGCGCTGACTTTTTACATCATGAAGCAGAGATGTCAATTCAAAGCAACGAAGTTGCGTCCGAATCTTCCGTTGTACACTTACCCACTGAACATCTGACATCTGACCGAGTATCTGACATTGAACAAACACAACTTGGCACATGGCATGATAAAAATGCAAATGACAAGCAAAACGTTTTGTTCGGCCTTCGAGTCTTGTTTTACTAGCAATTTATTTTTGTAACAACAGAAACAGTGCAAACTATTACAGCAGCAGCACATACCCATTGACAAAGAATGCCGTTTGGAAAGCTGTAAGTATAGTCTGGACACAAATAAAGCTACATGGGAATTCACATTTTACTGGGAAAAAAGTACATGTGATAGTACAATGAACTAGAATGGTCAATATATATGACATGTGGGTACATACTCGCAATCAAACAAACCGTGTAGCGACAATGTATCTTGGCCAAAGCAAGAAAAAGGACAAAAGTGGTGAAGGCCTAAACGTACTTGGTAAATGTGGAGCGATACAACAATGCACATCATCAGATGCGCAGAGTAGCAAACAAGCAATTTAACACAACCCTCAATCTTTGTAAACATTGTCACTGAATAAATAATATATAGCGCTAATAAAGGCTACAAATAAAATTTTGCACTATACTACACTGAAGGATTAAACTTGAGAAGTCGAAGGTATTTCCTCTTTAAAGACCTATGCACACAAACCCGGTGCCCCAATGAAAAGGCACTCCAGACAGACTTCAAGAGCTTGACCGCCAGTCATCTCTCTTTTCGAAAACACGTACTGCCTACTGCATGGAGATTACTTTATCACCTATTTAGTCACAGTTTTTTTCATCTCCAAGGTGACCAGCTGCCATGCTTCGGCTATCTGGGTGGGCCTCTCCGGACTTGTAAAGGTTGCTCAACTACATAGGTATCAACATGGATTTAGAAAAACGACATATTCACTAGATTTGTGTTTATTACAAGAACACATGGTGCACACTTATAGCTTGGATGGATCAAATCTGGCAAAAAACAGGAACATTCAGGGTGCGCTAAGCAACACGTATTTGCGATTCCATCATTAATATTAATATTATGAGGGATTTAAAGTCCTAAAACTACCAAATGACTTTAACAGACGCCCATAGCAGAGGGCTCCGGAAGTTTTGACCACCTGGCGTTCTTTAACGGGCACTCCAATCTGAGCAAACGGGCCTACAGAATTTCCACCATCGAAAATGCAGCCACCGCGGCCGGGATTTGGCCCCGCGACCTTCGCGTTGTAATCGACGAGTCATTTTCTTCCTCCTCCGCTCACGTCAACGTTGAAGTCTTCCACGGCTATAAGAGGTGCACGTCGACACGCCTCGCCACGATCAGTCAGCGTCTCCTCCAGACAGCGGTGAAACAGTTCCTTCAGCAGGTTTTGGGAGCAAGGTACCGCGCGAGGAACGGGATGTCGCCGACGTGCAAGGCAACGCACCTGGAACAGGAGCGTCTTCGAGAGGTTCAGGATCGTTCTTCCAGGTTGCTTTCGTATCTGCCGGCGGTGCTTTCATGACGTTGCCGATGACGGTGACGTCGAGGATTCGCCGGCGTTGGCCTTCCGCTGTCGGTGTTGCCGACGTGTTCAAGACACTTGTGCTCGGCTTCCTTGGCTCGCGTCTCGTCAGTGTTACTCGCGTCTCGTCAGTGTTACCCGGGTGCCGTCTCCATTCTAGAACGTGATCGGCGTGCTTGACTCGCACCTCGTCGATGCTATTAATCTTCCACTGCCGATGCTTGCGTTAAGCTTCCCTAGCTCGCGGCTCGTCGGTGTTGCAGGCGCGACGTCACCATTCACGAACGTGATCGGAAACACCGGCGACGGCCGGGTTAGGCCAAATCGCTTCGGCGCATGTTTAGGCAGGCGAAGGAGCTTCGCTTTCCGGCGTCCTCTCCACCGCAGATAAACGAGGCGAGTGTTCACTCGATATGCGCTCGAACGTTGCGAGATGTGGAGAGGTTGAAGCGAGAGAAAGGTGATACACGGTGAGGGTGCAGCAGGGGAGGAAGAGAATGACATCACCGCGCACTGTGACAGAAGGCATAACCTACTTGGCACTGCCCCAACACCTGCGGCGAGGGGTGCACGGTGCGGCTCGTTGGCACGGAGACACAGACACCGTTACACAGGCTAGTCAAAGAGCTGCTTCGCATCTAAAATATCACTGAAAGTACGTTACACAGGATTTCATGAGCAGCTAGTAGGCATGTGTGGTTCCACAGATCGGCAATGCGAGGTACAGTCCGTCATCCGATAGTTATGATCTAGTGGTACCAGCGGAATGACAACTAGCAGCAACGCCAAAGAGTCCTCGCAAAGAGTGAAGACAGGAGGGTAGGCCACAATGATGGGTTACTTGCATGATGCACTCCCATGAAGCAAGCAAGAGGCAGGAAACAGAAGGTGAATCCTTGTGGATGGAGGTACACCATGGCCACAGGACAGGAATTTTCTGAAGGATTGTCTTGCCCATTCAAGAGAGATAGGGAGGACGTTGCATGCAATGTGTATTTGGATGTAGCGTCCATCGATGGTCGAAAAGCTGTAAGTATGCCAAAATTTTTACCATTAGATGTCGCGTGAATTTACAACGTACGCGGAGCAATGCAAGTTCACGGTAAGACAATATTTAAGAATGCCGAATTGCTGCTTGGTCTTGGAATGAATAATAGAATGAGAATTTGTTTTCTACATTTGGTAGAGCATCGATCGCCATACTGTAAGGTCGCGACCGATGCATTGGTCGCGATACCGTGGCTGAGCATAGGTCGCGATACTGTTTTGCGCTTGTCCTTCTCTCGTGTTTTTTTCGCGCCATAAGCTACGTTAAGCTATATAGCATAGTGATGAAACACTTCGGCAAGGCTGACTTTCGAAATCCCCTATCAGACGTGGCGGTGGTGGCTTCTGTTATAGCATTTTCCAACTTGTAGTTTGAATAAAAAATGATATTTGGAAAGGTTTCGGTGTCCCATGAGAAACTTCAGACGTTATACATTGACTCCATGCGGCTGGTGGCCGCCCCGTGAAAGCGTCGAAATTTTGAACATGTTTCGAAAAATTGGCTGTTTTGTCATCCTTGTCAGTTATGTCTGTTATCATATAATCTGATATTACAGTTTTATCATAACCACCTGCCATCTCCCTGACTTTCTTTTTTCCAACCTGTTTACAGTAATTATCGCTTATAACAATGAACTTCTAGTTGCCCCTAAATGTTGTAAGTAGACCACACTGCGTAGCACGGCTTGCCCACCGTGAAGTTGGAACTTAGTTAAACTTGTTAGGCTAGTTAGTACATGTTACAAGAAAGTTGGACTATGCAAACCACCGGGGAAGAAGAGACGAAATGATGACGGTCTTCCCGGGTGGTTTTCATTGTCTAATTTTCTTGTAACGTGGAAAAACCCACACGCACTGCAATGCCTTGAGAGTTTGTGCTCAAGCGCATTACAAAACTGCCGCTGCTCTCTTTTAACACTACCTCACAAGAAGTAATTCCAGGAGCTTATATTCTAAAATGCTGCAGAATGTTTCATTAAATGAAGGCTCGCAAATTCTTAGCCTTATGCAAACTGAACCTGCAAGAGAAGTAACCAGAAAAGCGGTACTTGCCCAGGTCACTGCAGACCACCACGCAGGGAGACACAATACTCTTATAAAGGATGATCGACTTGGGGAGTTCACGAAGCAAAGGCTGGAAGTTGTACGCGAACGACCCGAGAGCTTGTCAGTTGCATGCGTCATATGAAAAGGTTCCCAAGCTAGAATGAAAAAAAAAACACTTTTTAATCATTGAGAGACAAGGTGTGCTTGTTTAACCAAAGAGAAAACACGACCACTTGACATCGTGACACCAATTATATATATGCAGTCGCACATTGAAAGGGAGAAAGTTTACAGTTAGCCTGAGTAGACAACAGACTGAAAATATCAGTTACAGGCACGCGTCATTGTGGCGTTACAATTAGATTCGATGTAAAATAAAGCAATGTTGTAAGGTACACTTAGTAGCACTATATATTGCCAAAACGTTTGCCAAGAGGCCGATGCAATCTCTATAATGAAAGTTCTGTGTGAACTTGAATACCTGGGCTGCTAGATTAAAAAGAAAAGAAAGATTATAAGTGTTATTTTGAGTGTTGTAGCCAACTAACAAAATGTGACGAATGTAATGTCTCATTACTTATAGCTTTGTTACGCTTTTTCCTTAGTTTCAACATGAACAAAACTAGGAGTTGCGGTACGAATGACCACTCGAGATAACCCTGTCATGTCAGCAATGTGTCTACGAGTTCGGCTACTAAATGCAGTGCTGACTAAATGAAGCGCTCGCATCAATATTATACCAATATGTTCCGAACTCAAGAATTTTCGATTGATCGACAACTGTTGCACATTACGATCGTTATTCAATGTAGTACATATGCTTACGCGATTTGTTGCAGATCTTGAAGCAAAGGTCCATCGGAACGCAGAGGACGCTAGTGTGAAGATGAAGAACTGCCTGCTGAGGAATGGTAGACCGGGGACATCTTGCAGGAAGGGTTAGATGACATACGGACCGGCGGAATCGACGCTTGCATCTGTAAGATGTGAAGACTGGCAAGCAAGAAGAAAAAAGGAGGCACGTTCATGACAGATTGGGGAAAAGTGCTATTGAAAGGACACCGATATGTCTAGTATATGACCGGTATGCACAACTGTGAGATAACCTTATCATACCGTTAAGACTGACCACTACAGGTAACGTTTAGGCATGTGCGAATATACGGGGGGCTTCGAGTACTCGATCGAATATTACATCAATTGAAATTTTGATTTCAAATTCGTGTTTAACCGAATTCAAAGGATACGAAATGAACGAGTAGAGAAACTGCATGTAACACCTTGTAAAGGTCGTTTACATACAGGGGAGCGCTGCTCCATCGCTTGTACATCTATCCACAAGAAATCAACACTGCCGCGAAGCCCAAATTCATAAATAAATGAACCGATCTATCTTTTTAGTTCTCCCCCCCCCCCCCCTTTTTTTTTAGTTTAAAATCTTGTTATCCGAGCTTACGATTGATTGAATTGTGGGGTTTAACGTCCCAAAACCACCATATGATTATGAGAGACGCTGTAGTGGAGAGCTCCGGAAATTTCGACCACCTGGGGTTCTTTAACGTGCGCCCAAATCTGAGCACACGGGCCTACAACATTTCCGCCTCCATCGGGAATGCAGCCGCCGCAGCCGGGAATCGAACCCGCGACATGCGGGTCAGCAGCCGAGTACCTTAGCCACTAGACCACCGAGGCGGGGCTATCCGAGCTTACGTGCTCATGTATAGTGAATTTTAAAATGTATTTACAGGTTTTCACTTTCATTCTACCGAAAGTCAAACCCTGCTACCATTCAAGGTTGTTTCCACTTCCTTTTGAACTAAAAAGAATCACGTTTGCACATGTCTTGGTTTGAACTTAAAGGAACATACTGCAAGTTAGTTAGGTCATTACAAATATGCTCATTTTGCTCATTTTTATTTAAAATGCTATATAGACTCCTCAAAATTTACTTATGAATGTATAAACTGAACCATCATTTGCTTCAAACTTGAATTTTACTATTCACACATCTCTAGTTCACTCTGAAAAATAGAGCTCACATCGAAATCGCACTAGGTTGGTACAAACTGAGGACTGGAAACTGAAGTTTGTCGACTGCGTAACCCTAAAGTGTCGCATGAGGAGTCATGATCACTATTGTTGTGAAAGTGCGGAAAGCTAAAAGAGGATCGATAAGATTGTGACAACTGTTCCAAAATGCTCACAGCAAGCACTCGAGGGCCGAGGACAAGCACTAATTCAACTCGGTTTATTGATGTGTTAGTCTGACAAACATAGATCTAGTCGGTCTCTGAAAGAAACAGACATGAGAAAGAAATGAAACTTTACTTATGGAGAGATGCGGAAACTTAGGGAGTCAATGTATGACCTAACTAAAAAAAATGTTTCTTTGATACTAGATTGTTTGCATTTTCTGCAGCATGAAGTAGATCCTATTTCATGCACTTTTTAGCCGTAGTGTTCATGAACATTTAGTACCTTGCGTGTGTGCTCTCGCGTGAGCCTGCATGCATTATTCGCCAATGAACCAAGTTGCGAGTCTGTGCTTTGTCTTCTTCCCTCTCATATAAATTCAATGTGAATTCATTCACGCAAGTCACTACAGATCGCAGAGAAAAAACTTTCACCAAGAAAGCGCAGTGAGCTTCAGCAGGTAGAAAAAACAATGCGTCAGCTGAGCGACAATCTACCGGAGACGTCATTTCCGGTGGCGCAAGGGCTCGACGAAATCCACGAAGAACCTGCGGGATCGTCCAGTGCGTGCACAAGATGTCAAGCGGCAAAAAAAAAAGCCAGCCAATTATCAATCATGGCAACACGTGGGACACACGTTTTATTAAAACACACAAAGTCCTCAAGGTGCGTATAGACTGCACATGGCGCTCTGCAACGGCGCCCTCACTTGGAGACTTTCGCACTAATTCTGTGCACGATTGGCAGGAAAACAACCACAAACTTTGAGATAATGGTAAATTAAGCAGTTTCGTTGCCTAAAGCTTCTTCATAATATTTCTTGTGTTAAGAAGGAATGCTTTCATAAAAACAGTACAGTGTCGAACAGAACATTTAACGCAGGGTGGTTCGGCAGGAATTTCAAGATTTGCTACTTTTTCGGAAATGCTTGACGCTACCAAATAGCTGTTTGATATTATTTGAGCACGTAATTGAATAAAATTTATAAATAAACATACAGTGGTACAGTGATGGAATTGATGAATATAGAGGTACAGTGATGGAAATATTTATGTTGTATTTGGAATTGTCGTCTAAATGCAGCAATTTATCTCAACACTTTTCTACTTTAGGTTTAGCCTCCAGAACCTTGGTATCAAGTTATGCAAAGTTCACGAATTTATAGACAGTCAGTGACAAGTCTCGCAAAGAGAACGCTATGGTGTATTTCGTACGCAAGTAGCCCAAGCCGATGTGGAAGCTCCTTGGGCAAGGTCACGATATAAGCGTTGCGTAATATGTTAAACTACCGTGCAAACGTAAACGTTCGGCAGTAATAGGGAATGACGGCCAGTGGCAACATACAGCCAGTATGAAACAACCTTAGTGTATAATGGGATCACCTGTCGAGTTCTTTCCACCAACGAAGCTCGCAGCAACGATGGCCGTTCCAGTGGTCCTCCACAGATGGCCGACTGTGCACCTCTTAGTCTCCTCGACAGTTATTCTCTGTTCTGCAGTCCACGGTCCAGGTGTCACCACCACTTCGCAAAGCTGCATAGTTACCAAGTAGAAATGAGTAAATTTATGATTTTATTTCTAAAACTATGGCAAGATGACATGCATGCTGTGCTTGGGGCTCTATTTAATGGAGTGGAGCTGCTTGCCTGCACATGATTCGTAACTACACAAGTGTCTACGTTTTGGTCCCAGCTAAATGCAGCCACTGCAGTTATCGTCCCATGTGATGATCGACCCAATGTCGTAGTTACAAAGCCACTGGATGCCGGTGCCATGAAAAGACAACATGTTTCAGCAAAGCCGCACGTGAACCAAGTCGACGACTGTACAACGTTTTAAAGCTCGTCTTCTATTGGCTGAATGGGGTCGTGACAGAGATATCAAACAATTTTTGGTTTTCAGCAAAAAATAGGCGTATAGAATCTATTGTTCTTGTACATATATGAAGATTGTATAGTAAAAAAAATGCTTGAGTGCAAGATAAGCTATGAATTTGCTGGAAAATAACTTCTACAGCCCCCGGCATCCACCCTTCGTTATGGCTTGGGCGAAATAATGTGCTGCACGGAATAGAGCCGTCGTGTTTAAGCAAAGTTGAAGCAGCTGCAGAGCCAACAGTCGAAGCAGGAACTCGGAGCTGCACTCTACAGCCCCAAGGGAGTCTTCCTGGCGAGTAACTGCAGCATCTTTATGTACTAGCTTCCGACCAGAAAGATTCATGATGATATACTGATGCATGACCAGGTCGATCAAATGCCTGCATTTCAATGACTTTCAAAGGCAGGGAAAATGTTGTAGCGGCAGAAAAACAAGGAGAAAAACCTCATTCACCTCATTGCAACAGTCGCGATCAGAAACAGCATCACCATAGCTATCGAGTAAGCGAAAAGAGTTAGATCTGCTGCCACGAACTACAGTCCGAAATTGCCGAGGATCATCTTTCAATAGGGCAGGTAGGGTAGTATTGTGGAATACTTATTAGCTTGCGCAACGGCGTTTTTGTACTCGTGTTCAGCACCAAAGTACGCGTGCCAACGCTAACGTGTCATCACCACTTTTTCTCGGCGGAAAATTATTTTCTTCTTGTTTAGTAGGCGCTTCCAATAGCTGTTAAATCAAAGAGCTTTGGAAGAAGAAAGCATCTGGTTTTAGTAATGTAGCAGTCGATCAAAAAGCTCTCTTTTCCGTAAACATTGACCAATTTTCTTGAATGAAGCGGGTATAAAACCCCGGCATATAGCCAGTTATGAAGTTGACAAGTTCATTATAAATTTTATGCAATATTGCTGCCATCTGTCGGCCGTCGTGTGCATGCCGCCGTGCATATTAGAGGCTCGAGCGTGGCGCAGTACGCACAGTTCTTGTGTTTACGTATACGTAAGGCGTATCGATGTGAGACGAGTGTAGGCTGATCATCGCAATGTCGACGTATTGCGGCGCCCCTTGCTACATACAAAGAGGAACTCCGAATGCTGACGGAAGAAAGATAAGCCGTTTTTTCGTCCTGATCAAGTTTTCGACCTGATAAGGCTGATAAAGTTTGTAGTATGTGCTCCGTGTACTGCTCCAAAAACGCGTGTTTGCGTTTTCCTTTCTAAGTTAAGTAACACGTGCTATAACATTTCTGATCTTGTTCCCTCCAATTGATGCATGCCGAAGCAATACAGCATTAGCAACGTGCGTACTAGCATCCGTTCAACAATTGAAGGCGACTCGTACACTTTACGCAGAAGCCACGTTCACGCAACAAGCTTTACCGCGGTTGATGTTTTCTCCCCTTCATCTCTTCCCTAGTGCAGGGTAGCGAATCAGATGTGTGTCTGGTTAACCTCCATGCCTTTCCTTGCATCTTTATCTCTCTCTTTCTTTACTGCGGCTAATTGCACGTGCCTGAATTTAGTTGAGTGTGCCGAGAACACCAAATCCTCGAAAAATGTTCGCCAGTCATGCGCAAGTCATTTCCCTAAATGGCAGCTCGTCACACTCCAGAAGAGAAAACGAAACATGAAACATGTTTTTCACACCGTGGCTCCCTTCTCAAAATGAACCGATGATGCGCACTTGCTACTAATTCAGCGTGTGCCGTTACCGAAACGCAATGAAGAAATCAGCACATTCAATGAAATGCAGGCGCCCGCAATTAACTCGTTGCGTTGATTGATTGATATATGGGGTTTAACGTCCCAAAACCACCATATGATTCTGAGACATGCCGTAGTGGAGGGCTCCGGAAATTTCGACCACCTGGGGTTCTTTAACGTGCACCCAAATCTGAGTACACGGGCCTTCAACATTTCCGCCTCCATCGGAAATGCAGCCGACGCAGCCGGGATTTGAACCCGCGACCTGCGGGTCAGCAGCCGAGTACCTTAGCCACTAGACCACCGCGGCGGGGCAAAGCTCGTTGCGTGAACGTGCACCATGGCTTCTGCGAGAAGCGTACGAGTCGCCTTCGCTAGTTACATAATGCTAGTGAAAACGTTGCAAAAACTGTTTTGCTTAGGCTGGCAGCAAATTGAGGGAGCACGAGTACAAACGCTATTGTACGTCTTACTTGCTTCGAGAAAAGAACAAAAACACGTGTTTCGGGAGCAGTAGCCGGAGCAAATGCTGGAAACGCCACCAGCTTGAAAAAAATGAAAAGGGGCAAAGTTTACGGCTTACCTTTCTTTCTTCGGCATTCCGAGTTCTTATATGTGTGCAGCAAAGAACGCAGCAATAGGTCGGCATTGCAATTATCAGCCAATACACGCCTCGCATCGATAAGCCTTACGTATACGTAAACACATGCGGACTGTGTGGACTGCGCAGCGCTCGAGCCTTTAAGATGCGCTCGAGCCTCTAACATGGCGGTATGCACACGACGGCCGACAGATGGCAGCAATCTTGCATAAGGTCTATTGATTGTCGAAAAGTTTGCATTTTTATAATCTTTGATAAATTCACCTTGCTTCGTGCAAGGCGAATGGGCGTGAATATTGCTGCGAATAAAACAGTGATCACTCAGACCAGGCATAAACCCGAGGGCTGCGACGATTACTTCAGTAGTCACAAGCAGAAAATTTTGCACATTAGAAGAATCATTTTGCGTATTAAAAGAAGATGAGCTTAGCAACGAGCAGTCTGAAGTACCAGTTCCTCAACGTCAAAATCCAAACGAAACTTAAAAAATGAGAAACTGTTCCGTTGAATTTCCCTCAAGACTTGCTGGGCCAGTAGACCAGATCGTGGAAGACTAGTTTAAATCACCAAAAAGAAAGGCCATTTGAGAAACTGCAAAGCCTACTTTTTGTAGAACATCATGTAGTTTTTGACAAAATGATGTTGATGGCTGTGACGACTTGTAGCACACAGTGAAGATATACTTTCTATGTCCTATAAACACACATGCGCTAATAAATTGTTGGTGTCGACCATAATATCACTGGAAATTAAGGCATCCCGGACACATATCAATAAGCCATCGCCTAGGCGATCAGTACGATTCGAACTACATATACTGTAACCCGCTCCTGCAGTGCAATATTTCAATTTCAGTGGATTGCCGTAGAGAGCCAAGTTTCTGTAAACAGTACCGCTTAGTGCAGAACACGTGTCAACTAATAGAAGATAAGTGGCTGCGATTGCTATACAGACTATGAACATTGGAATACAGCGGAGACACCCGACTGGCTGATTGCGTTCGTGCTAGCTATAAAACTTCTCAATTTGGCTATACTTTCTGGACGTACTGTAGTTCACAAATTGTCGTGCCAGTGCCATGCGATTCGCTCTAGTGTTAGTTCAGCATGACACTCTAGGTCTCCTCCTTTTGACCACACTTTCCGCATTACTCCAAGAGTGCTGCACTTTGGCCGTCGATTTGGCGTGTGCAGCTCGAGCCACCTGCACATCTGTCCCCGATTTGACATCGTGCAGCACGACGCCAAATAGAGTTCAGAAATGCAGGTGGCACGAGCTGCACACGCCAAATCGAGGGCCAAAGTGCAGCACTCTTGGAGTAATGCGGAAAGTGCGGTCAAATGGAGGAGACCTAAATCAATACACATGGACAGTTTTGGTAATATACAATTATTTACGTGCGACGAGTATGGCTGTCAAAAGCTTTTACGGAATTCATGTACCCTTTTTTTGGTAGCGTCGCGTTGCTCTCGAGAAGTCTTCACTAACCGACACCCTAGATGGGCGGAATTTATTTCTCTAAGAAAAAAAAAGAAACGTTATCCGTCATTTTTCATGACTGAAATTTAACACTAATTGGCCGGCACCTATGGGGGAGCATAAGCGCCAAGCCTATGCGCACGTTGTATTGCTCCATCCGATAATTTGAGGTCAAGTTTTTGAGATACAAGGCCGGTTATTTTTTTGAGTGCGCCTAACTATCACAACAATTGTCGGCAATATAAAACAAATATCAAATTATCTTTACGAGGCCGGTCTTCTAAGTTGTCAAGTCGGAAATGAAGAGCATCCGTTTCGCTTCTTACTGCTTGCGGAATATCAGGAACATAGTGACCCGAGTTATAAGCTTCTACTATTGTCGCTAGCCTGCTAGAAAGATCAGTCACTTTCTGTTCCAATAGAGGTCGTTTGGTTTGCACTTGAATAAGCACGGCAAGAAGTTCTGCATGGAGAAAGTCTACCTTAGCTGAAAGGCTAGCAATAGCTGACAGCACCTTATCGTCCGGCCCTAAAATGAATTCAACATTCACGCACACGAGTAGCTTAAGGACGTAAAATCACTCAGACATATTGTCATGTATAACACTTGGGCCAAGGAATAGCAGCAGAAACATATCATTCAAGCGCTTTCAGTAAAAAGACGGGTGGTTACCAACCTGCACAGCGAAGCAGAAAAATTTCACCTCTGGTCCCATAGCTGTCGCTCTTTCGTGGACACTGAAAGGCGTGGATGATAGGCGGACGCTTGAATCAGCTGAACGTGCTGATATTGATGAAGGATCCGGCTGGTCCAAAAGGTGGAACGGTGCCATCAGTATAGTCATAGCATGAGTTGAGCAGCGGGGACGGTGATTAGGGTGATCATCGACGTAGATACGATAGTTGACGCCGCAGAAACCGGGCATGACCACATGTAGACAAAATCTGTGCGATGAAGCAGAAAAAAATTCACCACCAGTCCCATAGCTGCCACGCTATCCTAGCCATGGTTGAAATTGCCGGCAACCATAACCATAGCACCCGCGTATCGGCTCGTATCAGCGCGACCCCCCAGCGACCAGGTCGATATGGTGGGTGTTAGATAAACGAGCGCACTACGGCATGTCAATCGCAATCTTCTCATAAACTATTGTTGTGATTAAATCTACCAGAAGTAATATTTCTGTTCAACATCTCTCGAGGTATGAGAAAGTGTTTACTCGAGAAAGTGCCGTGAGGATGCCCATGAGGTGATGTTCTGCCTATGTGGTACAGAGTGTCCGTTAAATGAAGACAGTCAGTGCTTCTGGGAATCAAATAATTATTGATCTCATTCAGTGAACTAATTATGTCATTGAATTCATTAAGGAACATTGATGTGAAAAGACATTAAGATCATTAATGTGAAAAGACTAAGCATACAAATATAAACAAAAGAAATTAAAAGCATTAGTGCTGATTGCAATACTACACAATGGAAAACTGCTGACTGCATCACTGAATCTTTACGTATTCTTTATTTACTGCGTAAGACTTCAGGCAACATCTTCAATTAAGGCGTGAATTTGTTCGATGACCCGGTTCGCGCAATATTTTAACTGGATTCAGGTTTTCTTTGCAACCGCAAAAATATAAAACGTTTCCTCTCGTTCTTGAGTCTCGTATTACACAATTGAGGGTGGAAGGCGTCAGCATAAATCAGCTTCAGCGTTCTCACTTGATCGTCTGAAGATATGCGAATACCGTTAAGCTGATCGATAGTGTGGCAACCAAGCACCACAGACGTGCCGCTTCGATGGTCAGAATTCTGGTTGTTCGATCTAAGATTTATTCAAACCGCTTACGGTCGGTAACTAATGTGAATGAACGACCTTAAATGTAGACATGAAACTTCTTAGCATCAAATAGTATTGCGAGGGCGTGTTTATGAAGCCAGCTGTATTTTTTTTTTTGCATCGGTAACAAGCACGATAAAGAAGCGATTGATTTTGCGCTGCAATAATCTAAAACGTGTGAAAGGATTACCCCTAAACCATATTGTGATGCGTCGCAGCGTAGTTGAAATGGTTTACAAGAGTCGTAGCATGCGAAAATAAGTGGAAAAGCTAGCAAGCTCTCTGTCTTGAACTTTTCGCGTGAACGCGTATCCCGCCACCACGGTATGTTTGAACGCACGAACATAAAGGAAAGTTGCGCCACCATTGCTAGGTTAGGAAGAAACTTGCCGTTGAAGTCGGCGACTCACAGGAACGGCTACAGCTGCTGCCTGTTCTCAGGGGCTGGCACCTTTAGGACAGCGTCCCGCTTCTCCGTCGTTGCCGAGATGCCGTTTGCGCCGATTTCGTGACCGAGGTAACAAAGTTTTTTTTTCTGAAAAAGAAAGCACAGTGTAAGAACACTTTAGGTGAGCGAACACCGCCGAGCGAGAGCTTGGTGGGGAGAGACCGATTATGTTCTCGTTGGCGGCATGCCGACAGATGGCTCGCCAAACTGAGGACCGTGGCGGGCTGCTGGCAAATTCCGCAAAGCCCATTCGGCACCCGGGCAACGGTTTCCAAATCTGAGAAAACCAGGTCATCGTGCGATATCAACCACGCGATACGCTTAGAGCGGCACCGCGATAGAGGGGGTGATAAGGGAGGAAGTTGACTGCGCGGTGAGGGTGTTGTGGCGAATATAAATGAGCGCCGCTACTTTCCTACGTTACGGGGCTTTCCAACACGGAAAGGTGGGAGGGAGCCAGGACGTAAAGCCCCTAGAACTCTAGGGTCTTTATGTTAGTTTTAGGGGCTTTACTGAGACAAAGTTTGCAGCGGGGAGGGAGCCAGGACATATAGCCCCTAGAGCTCTAGGGTCTCTATGTTAGTTTTCTAATAAATTAAACAGGTTAGATGACCAGCCGCTGTCAAAAGAAAGTATACTGCGCCATCGTCATGACTCATCGTCACAGAAGAAAGCCGTGCAAGCGCTACTGGGCTTCTTACGAACTACTGGCCTGTCGGAACGCCTCTGAGTGGACTGATTTTGTGTGTGCGTGTGTGGCGGTGTTTTTCTCTTATTTATTTTTAAACTCTCCCTTTCTCTTTCAACCCCCTATTCCCCAACACCAGTGTAGGATACTATATCGGATACTAGCATCTGCTTAACCTCCCTGCCTTCCTTTTTTCTCGTTTCTCTCTCTCTCTCTCTTTAGGGGCTTTACTAGGACAAAGTTTGTAGCGCCAACTCTCGGGTCCTTTTGAAGCAGAACATTATCGGGTAGTGGGTTGTTACGGAGTTCGCTCACCTAAAGTATTTTTTCACCGTGAAGAAAAAAAGTCACAGCGGCATTACAAGGGTTAAGCGATGAATGCGATAGCAACAAACTGGAATGTCACGCGAAGAATGGAAAGCGGATAGGAACGAGCCGCACGCTGCTCACGGACAAAATGACGCACGAAAACGACACACATGACTAAGGCGAAGTAACAACGTTTAGAACTCGACACTGAACGCGCTGGAAAAATCAAAGCGACACTTGAAACGTACTAATAACTACTGATGAACGTGAGCTAGCTAGTGGCTGTGGCGGCTGC